CGCTCAAGATGGCCTCCAAGACGGCCCAAGAGGCATCGACGACGTGCTCCAAGAAGGCCCGAAAGGGTCAAAATGGCCTCCAGACTGCCAAGATGACCTTCAAGATGCCCACGTGTTCCCCGAAGGCTTTCCAAACCGATTCGGGGGACACATGGTCCGATAGCTTGGCAGGTCTGGCCTCCACGTTCGGCCACATAGGCGCTTCCAACAAGGCAGGGGGCGGCGGTGATTCGCCGTAGGCGTCTTCGATCCGCCGCCCACTGCGGTCTTGCCATAAAGGGGTGCACGGCATGAGGAGGAGGAGGAGGAGGAGGAGGGAGGAGGAGGAGGAGGAGGAGGAGGAGGAGAGGAGGAGGAGGAGGAGGAGGAGGGAGGAGGAGGAGGAGGAGGAGGAGGAGGAGGAGGAGGAGGAGGGGAGGAGGAGGAGAGAGGAGGAGGGGAGGAGGAGGGGGAGGAGGAGGAGGGAAGAGGAGGAGGAGGAGGAGGAGGAGGAGGAGGAGGAGGAGGAGGAGGAGGAGGAGGAGGAGGAGGAGGAAGAGGAGGAGCAGGTCTGGAAGGTTTTTGCTTGTTCTCTCAAGAACTCCCCCTGGGGTCTCGGCCCCGCCCACCGGCCACTCGACGAGCTCCCAAATCTCGGCCCCCACTGGCCACGTCGGCTCCGAGACGGCCCAGATGGTCCAAGATGGTCTCCAAGATTTTTGTTTTGTTTTATGGCGAGGCCAAGATGGCCTCCAAGATGGTCTCAAGACGCCTCCAAGACGGCCAAGAGGGCCCTGCGAGAGCGCAAGCTGGCCGAAAGAAGTATCCAATACGCCCCAACATGGCCTCAAGACGGCCCAAGATGGCGTCAAGATGGGCCAGGACGGCCCAAGAAGCCCCAAAGAGGTATCCAAGACGGCCTAGGAAGCCTCCAAGAGGACCTACAGGCATGCCCGAAGCGGTCAAATTCATTATGTTCCCTCTGGTGTTTGAAGGTTTTTGACGTTTACTCCATCCCGACCTTCCGACGGTCCATGACGGCCCAACAGACCCCCAAGATCGCCCCAAGATCGTCGCAGAGGTCTCCAAGATGGCCCTATGACGGTCAAAGAAATCCCCAAGACGGTCCAAAGAGGGCCCGAAGACAGCCCAAGAGGCCTCCAAGATGCCCAACATGGCCTCTAGGACAGCCAAGAAGCCCCCAAGAAAGCGCAAGATGGCCGCAAGATGTCTCCAAGACGGCCCAAAATGCACCCAAGACGGCCCAAGATGGCCTCAACATGGTCCAAGACGGCACAAGAAGCACCACAGAGGCATCCAAAACGGCCCAAGAGACCTTCATCAGGACGAAGGAGCCAAAATCATTATTCTTTCTCCGTTGTTTGAAGGTTTTTGGCGTTTGCTCCATCCTGGCCTTCCGACGGCCCAGCAGACCTCCGAGATCGCCTCAAGATCGTCGCAGAGGTCTCCAAGATGGCCCCATGACGGTCAAAGAAATCCCCAAGACGGTCCAAAGAGGGCCCAAAGACAGCCCAAGAGGCCTCCAAGACGCCCAAGATGGCCCAGATGCCCCCATGAGAGCCCAAGATGGCTGCCAGGTGTCTCCAAGACGGCTCAAGATGCACCCACGACGGCGTAAGATGGCCTCAAGATGACCCAAGACGCCCCAAGGCCTGCAAGAGGACGCACAGAAAGGTCCGGAGGAGCCCACATCGCTGATGTTCGTAATGTGGTTGACGGTGTTTGGCTTTTGCGCCCTTTCGGTCACCCGACGGCCCAAGGTGGCCCAAGAGGCCTCCACGATCGCCCAAGAGGCTTCCAAGATGGCCCCACGACAGCCCGAGAGGCCCCTAAGGCCGCCCAAGAGGCCCCCAAGACGACCCCCAGAGGGCACCGAAACGGCCACAACGACTTCCAAGACGGCCCTGAAGCGCCCGAAGAGGCCCCGAGTCGGCCCAGAGAAACGCCGAAGGCGGCTTCCAACGGCATCAGACGGGCGAGGCCTCCAGGAAATCCCCAGGAGGTTCCAAGAGTGCCCCAAGATGCTTCGAAGAGGTCTTCTCCTCCTTCTCCTCCTCCTCCTTTTTCCTCCCTCTCCTCATCCTTCTCGTCCTTCCTCCCCGACGTGTTCCCCGAAGGCTTCCACGACGGCTGAGGGAACGCATGGTCCAACAGCGTGGCCAAACTTTGCCCAAACGTTTGGCCACATAGGCGTATCCTGAAAGGCAGGGAGCGGCGGTGATTCGCCGTAGGCGTCTTCGATATTAATGACTCCTCCTCTGCATATCATCAGGCAGATGTGCTGGTACGGTGGCCCCGGTGTTTCGTCTGAAGTGCCCTCACGCTGTCCTAGGCTCCGATTGGAAGTTACAATGCTTACCCGTGCTGATGGCGGATAAGTTTCAAACTGTGGCCTTCGCCTAAAATCCAATTCCACTTGCACGCCTCAAAGCTTGTAGCGTCTAACAGGTGCACGGGCGAAAGGCAAATTGCATTCAAAATCTGATTTTCCGCATAACAT